AGCAGCCAATCAGGACCCACGTCTGACTTGGACCAGGCCTGCGGGTGCCGACCCGTTCAGAACATGTAGCATATTCTTCGTGCAGCCTGAGTCATGTGACAGGGGACAAATCTTGGATGTGGATCCATAAACTAAAGTGTGAGCAGCCGGTTGGTTCTGTCGGGCCGTAGATCTGTCTCCAACATCCTGGTCTGTAACTTCTGCCTGCTTGTGTCACTGTGTCACAGATTATATGTCAATGTGGACACCCGCTCTCTATCTCCTCTCCCTATCCATCTATCCTCTTCATTTCTTTATTTACGCTTGACTGTCTATGATCTTGTGCAGGTCACTAAGGATTACAGACTGGCAAGGGTTTCTGGTCCATTGACATATAATGACATTACAACTGCTTCATCGGAGGGGAGGAGGGACATTTGGACAGACAGAGAGAGAGGCTGGGATGAAGCAGAGGCTATTGATACAGGTCAGAATAGACATCATATACAACTATCTAAATAAAAACTAAACAGGAAACACTTTTGTTTTGTCACAGGGTTGCTTTGTTATTTTAGAAGAGTTGGTTTCTGTTTTAAACTGAAAAGAAACAGCCTTAATTCTAGGGAAAAACATATTTGTAATGTGTCAAGAAAAATATTTTTAAATGGGCTTGCCTCTAAAAGGAATTGGTAAATTGCTAAGTTTTTAGGAATGTTCTACAGAAGTTGTATTTAGGACAAACATTGAGTTTTCTTTGAATCTGACCCTCAGAGATCAACTAAGATCATATATTTAAAAGTGAACCCTCCATCATTAGAAACCCTCTCAGTTCACATTTTATTGTTGTGTTTCTTCCTCTGTTGGATCATTTTTTTCAATGTCAACTCGGAGCTGAACTCTGATCTGCTCTTCACCTGTTTCGGGCCTGATAAACATTGTACTGGCACTAATCAAAAGGAAACAAAACAGAAGAAGCCTATTGTAAACCAGTTAGGACAGATATGTCTGTGGACATTTTTACATTTCTGATCGGGAACATCATGTGAAGTCTGAACCAAACCAAAAGTCCAGTTTTCTGTCAGAGTGGTTAAAAACAACACATTGGTAACAATCGATGCATCAGAAAATACACATTTGTTATATTTGATTATGGCCCACACACAACCACTAGCTGGCACAAGGCCAAACACTTTTTTTCCTGTGTAGTTTTATTTCCAAATGTTATCTCTCCTGAATAAACATAGTTTTATGAGCACTTACTTTTTTGGACATTCAGGCTCTGTTAGAAGCATAACTCACTGTTCTTATTTTGATGAGCTGCAGTGCTCCAGTCCAATCCATTTTACACTGTAAGCTCTACCACTCGCCCAGGGCTAGCTGTATTTTTTGTAAATTGTCTCCATTGTACAATATTTAGTTCCTGGTCTCTGAGGTGAAAACCAAAGAGAACTAGGAACCTTCCAAAGCCTCACCAGACCAAAAGACTTGTGAGCTTGACACCTGCTGTCAGTAGAGCTTTCCTTTTAGTCATCACTGAACAGTCAACATGACCACAGAGGAGAGTTTACAGTAGTTCACACTTCTGGATCAGTGGTGTGCACCCAGAGAGGGGACCAAAGGGGGTCATTGCAGTTAGCTACTGAAAGACCTAGTCTGATGACAGGTTTAAATGTTTCATAAGGCCATTTGAATCTAAAACCAGAAATTATTCTTATCGTGCTGGAGCGCAATCCACTCAACAGTTACAGTATTTACAAAGTAGCAGAAAGCAACATGATTTAAAATGCCCCCCACTGGGAGCACTTATCAACGGAACTGTTTGTTTTCTAAATTAATGGAGGCTTTCACGCGGCTGTTGTTTTCTTCGTCTCCACTTACATCACCAGTCTTTAACGACCGGCTGAGGTTTAATCCCTGGCATTTATTTATTTTGGCTAGCTGCCAGCTTGACACTCCCGAAAACATATTTTAATGAGGTGCCAGTCCGCTGAAACAATAACCAGCGCTGAGATGTTTTAATTGGCGTAGAGAGCAGCTCTGTAAGACTGGAGAGGGATCATTCAAACTCGCTCAGGGCTGCTGCAACAACATATTCTCATGTTAAAGATTCAAACAAAGGACAGATGGTAAGCTTCAGCACTTTACACCAAACTATTAAAGTTCACAGAAAGTCCTCTCTCCTCCCTTACCTCAGCGCATAATCCTAACGCTGAAGTATTTTATTTTGTTTATTTTAAAAGCCTCTTAGAGAAACCTCTATAGGTTTAATTTCACCTTAATGCTGTTAGTTGTTTTCCTGCTAATAAAACAGTGAACGAAAGTAGAGCTGATCCTTGACGTGGCCACGCTCTCATTAAAACAGCACCAATAAACCTCTGGGGGGCAGCACACACAAGATGAGCAGCATCTAATGCAACAACACAAGATTATCGTTTTTATATCAATATAGCAAAAGTCAGCTTAAATGCAGATTTAAGTCACTTGAACCTGTATTCGTGACCAGCAGGGAGCCACTCCACTGGTTGCTATTTAAAAACTGCCAAAAAATTTTTGACCTTTGTTTCTTTACATTACAAACATTTTCTTTAATATCAGCTGAGTCAGCAACAACCAAAATACCTCACAAACCAACATCTATCTTGATGAATGAATACTTAGATCTCAGACACGCTTTCCTTCACAACTTCAATAATGCCGTGCTGCATGACTCACGTGTATGTAATAGGTGTATTTATATAATACACTCAGCAATCACGATTTTTCCCATTGGACCCATTTCTTGGTATTAAAGTGAATTATATAATAAGGTTCACCTCTAAAGCATGCAATATTCCTACCAGTTATGTTCACCCCTGTTTGTAACGACCTTTACGATTTCAATTCCTAACCAATGATCAGAACCAAAGAATAATTTTGGATAAGAGGTGAAAGATTTTCAAGTTGTTCTTTAGGCTTGACTTACAGGACTGGGTATGATTCTCTACATGCTACTAAGGATCTGCTGGACTTAGAAAAATAGAGCTGACATAACTGGCACTGCAGTCTGGTTCCAGCACGTTCCCTGCAGGTTTTAGATAATGAGCACAACTGATTCGTTTAAATTAGTGATGAATCACTCCTGTAGACACTAAGAGAGGCTGGGAGATGTTTCAGCCGTTAGATTAGGTGTTAAAATGACAAACGCACAACGAGGAGATAGGTCTTGCTTTTGGTTATACTAAACTGACTCTAGGGGGTGCTAAAAGCAAGCCAAAACTGCGTAGTCTGCCTTTAACAAAGAAATAATCAAGGAATGAGTGCCCTGGTTCTAAGATATTAAACCAAAGGATGCTGTACCACTGGCAGCCATGTTGCTTCTAAAGACCCACATTTGAAAGTCCCAAAACACAAAGACACTGACTCCATTTACACATTTGTATTTTCTAAACTGTATTTAATAAATAAAAATGCATAATTTTTGTCCAGTTAGCCTGAGGTTTCATCAGTCCGATTCACTTTTACATAACCTGACTCATAAAGCACTAGCTGTGACAATAAACAAATCTTCAAACTCTAGAATACAAAAATCACACAGATTTTATAAAATAAAATCTGGTTTCAGGCTTCATCCAAACTATAATATCTACCAATAGGTTATCTCTGTGCTGTTGACCGAATACCAACTAATGAGACTTTTCAGTAAAGGTTTCATAACAATCTAGACCAATTAAACTGAAACTCTAATTTCCCTCTGGGATCAATAAAGTCTCTTTGATTGATTGATTGATTGATTGAGTGATTGATTGATTAAACATTTTCAAATGTGTTATGTCAAGATTATTTTGCCTCCCCAACACTTGACTTATTGCAATAGTTAAATTGTTACATTAAAGTCACGAAAAAATGATCAGGTGGCATGATGGGTTGCGCATCTTGCTTTTCTATGAATCCATCTCCAACACGGACACACACAACCATAATTGAGCGTGCGTATTAATGTGCACATTGTAGCTGTGGTGAGTTACTGTCACTAATACGATTGTTTGTTGAAATGAAACCAATGCTGGGGCCAAGCTGGCCTTTGATTAGAACCTGACTTCATGTGGTTGTTGTAAAGTAATAGGTTGCTTTTAATTCTTCACAAACACACACACACACACACACACACACACACACACACACACACACACACACACACCAACTGGCTGCACTGTGACTGCAGCAGCCACAAGCAATCAGACGTGAAGTAAATCTGGACTCAGACCCAGAGACTTGTTTAATATGCTGGTCATGCGTTCAATTTCTCTCCCCCTTTTCGTCCTTTACCTTCCAGTAACCCAGAGTACCAAAGCAGACCTGCAGTTCAACAGAGAAACACTCAAGTGTCTATTAATGCCTAACAAGTACGCATGGCTGCAATCAGCAAGAGATGTAGAGTCAGCTGATGTTTGATTAAATTGTTCTGATAAGGAACCAATGCTGCAGTCGTCCTGCACAGTGTATCAGCTTCAAGGGCAGTGGGGAACAACACACCACAGGGGGAGGGAAAACAGTCTAAATCAACCTACATTAGCCAGAAAAACAAAAAAAGAGAAACTGTTTAATAGATACATGACAGTAAAAAAGACCCATTGGGTTTAATGACAAGATAAGCAACCACAGTGCTTTACAACAAACAGTTGGTCCATTTGGCCCCAGGATCGGGTTTATCCAGACAGCAAACGTCTAATATTCATTGGCCAAGTTTAATTTCAAACTGCACACACAGATTGGTTTCAGTGGCCTCAGTTTCCACTGGGCTGCTCAAACAAAACCACAAACCTAACCAGTAAACCAACTGGTCCATCCACCAGAAACAAAGGCTACAGCCAAAAACAATGCCTGATAACCAATGCATGGAGCACCAGCAGAGCTGGATCAGTCCGAGACACCGGCCCATCTCCAATCTCAGCCTCTGTGTCCCTCCTCCCCTCCCTCCCTCCCTCCCTTCTTCCTCTTGTCTTCCCTCCCTCCTCCTCCACCTCCCTACTCCTCCTCTTTAGGACAAGGAGGTGAATCTGGAACAGGTGCATCGTCGTATGAACAGTCTTTTGGACGAGGACTTGGCCCACAAGCAGATCCCCGGCCACTCTATCGAGATCTCTGCGCTGGACATCGGCAGCATGCAGCCCAGCCAGGCCTCTCTGGTACCGAGGCCGGAGTCAGTGCGGGACTACCCATCCTCGGGTCTCTCTGTGACCACCTACCTGCCCGGGGAGGGGGCACAACCTCCCCCTCTCCCCCACCCTCACCATGGGGGGACCCTAGGCAGGACACTGCCCTCATCCCAGGGCCCTGGCAGCATGTTGCCCCCACACCACCTTCTCAGCAGCACCATGCAGTGCAAGCACAGGGCTCCCAATGGGGGGCTCTTCCGGCAGAGCCCTGGCAAGACCCCCCTGCCAATCTCTTACCAGGCAGTCTCCGCAGGACCCATACCCGAAGCCATTGATGCCACCCACAGTACATCCATTTAAGGACAGGAAGGGTCAGTGGGGTGGGAAGTGGGGATGGTCACGCTCTGAACTATGGTCCTGATTTGGATGTGAGGTGGGTTGGACAGCTTTTGATGGATAAAAAACCCACAAATGTACAAAGTAAAAAGATTTTCTATCACACCAACTGATCTGAAAGGATGTAAAAACAACAAAAATATGGTGAGGCAGGTGGCAACATGGGTGGAGCAGTGGGTGGGGGTAGGGGTGTGGGTGGGTTGATGGGTGTATTTTTTCTCTTGTAGATACATGTAAATATCAAGACCACAAGTGAAGTCAAAGTGTATTTTGAATATTCTCAATTTTATGAAGCTGAGTAAAAGAAAACAAAAAGATTATATATATATATATATATATATATATATATATATATATATATATATATATATATATAGTTCTGACTGTTTGAATGGCTTTGTAAATTTTGTTCAATTAAAACAATGAGGTGGATTTCATTGTGATTGTTTTCTAAGTGCCGAAATTAAACGATGTCTCCAGAACTCATCAATGTAAGCAACTACCCATGAATCACTACTGTAGGGGCATTTTTGTGTTGGACACCTACTGTTATGCACCTGTGTACCAAACCCAGAGCTATAGAAAGACAGAGTTGCGACACGCTTTGAACTCGCCGACTTGTGGTCACGTGGCTCATGGAGCTCTCAATAGTTCCAAACATCCCAGAGCTGTAAGTCAGTTTGAACGGTGAATGGTGGGACAAATCACAAAAATTGAATATTGACACATTTCCCCTGCTATTTTTGGTAATTTTTGAATAATATCATATATTATCTATTATGTCCTAATTCCTTCTCAAAGTAGTCTATTTATCTTTTTCCGAGCATTTGTAGGAAGACAGACACTCGTGACTGTTCTACATTACAGGAACACGACAGTCCTAACACATGGTAGAATACATTTAGACCACATACATTACGGTAATATATTATAGAAATAAATTTGATGTAGTAATGCAACACACTGCTCTAATATAAGCATATTTAAATAAGTCCTACAAGAAGCCCTAAACCCGAGTTGTAATATCCATTTTAAAGTGTTTATTGAAAGCTAGAATTCTACTCCAGCTTACCTTGAAGAAAATTTGTAGCTGTTTATGCTTTGAATGATGATCTGTTATGTTCAGTAGAATACATTTTGCAATCATTACTTTATATTTTTATGTGAAGACAGTACATGCATCTATAACCCAGTTTATCTGGCTTCTATAGCCTGACTAATAGCAGCTAATTAAAAAGAAAATTTCAAGAAAACTGTATGGTCAAACACAGTAGATAAAGTGTGTGTTAATTGTGAAAAATGAACACCAAACTTGTACAACGTGTAAATAGCATTTTTAATAAAGCATTTTTACCAACATTATGTTTAGTCATTACATATGCACAAATAAGCTGAATCATTAATTATGAGTAATGTTCTCAAGACCTAATGAAACTCTTTTCAATAACTTTATTTTGATTATTATTAAAATAAAATTTGTCAGTGGCTTAAAATTTGAAATTACAAATTTTAGGGTTGGGTTAGCGTTAGGGTTTTAAAATGTTAACATGTAATTTTACATCTCTATTTTTGGTTTAGTTCAATATTTCTATATGTACAAAAATAGTATTTTAATAATACCTTTATAGGTTGATTATCTTACCATGGTTGGCTGTGCTGCATGTGGATGTAGCAATGGGTCTGAGGGAGGAATCAGAATGTATGGCTTCCCCAAAGATGCAGAGAGAAGAAGAAAATGACTGGCTCAAGTCAGCAGGAGCAACCTCACCATGACCAGAGATCACATTAACAAAAAGCTGTGTGCAGTAATTTTAATGTGCACTCGCAAATGTTTTCTATTAAGGCTCTACATGTTTTGCTCCAGTTTGCTCTCAACTGCACAAGGCTGCAATTAAACTATTAAGTATGCCAGGAAATAAAATAATACACGACTCTACAGACACATTTTGAGGAGGGACAGTTTACTAAGACTAGACAAGGCAAGGTGAGACTCGGGGCTGATGCTGTTCCAACCCTGTTTGTTCATCGCCCTGAACCAAGGAGGAGGAAGGATCTCACAGTGAGAAGTACAGCAGAACCACTGCATGTTGATCCACTGACCAGTGACCACACATTTTGTACTCAAGTAAACTGTGGTATGAATCTTTTGAAATATTAGACATTTGTATTTGTTTTATTTAAAAATCATTCTTTATTCTAACAGTGCCATTATAATTTCAGAGAATGAGGAAAGCAGCAGCAGCAGTGAGGCAAATGAGATGAGGGAAAGTGAGGGGGGACATGAGATGGTATCAGGAGAGAGGGACATCTCAGGAAGCCATGAGGAGCTGGCATCAGGGCCAGATGGAGAAAGGAACAGGCTACGCAACCAGGGAACCCAGCTGGAAAACCTAAGGGAGCAAACAGAAAGTTAAAAAGGCATGAAAAACACAAGAGGCATTAAATGGAGTAAACAGACAATCAAAAAGGCCACACAACTCGGTTTTTCAGTGGGTTCAACAGGCTACAGGTTTCTTCAGGACATGAGTATCCCTCCGCCTGATGTTAGAACCCTGCACAGACAAACGCAGCCCATTAACTGGAACCAGGTGTGTTAGGAGAGGTGTGTGACATGCTCAGTTTGAAGGTTAAAAATCTGACAGAGATTGAAAGAGAGTGTGTGCTTACTGTGGATGAGATGGCAATCACTCCAGGCGTGCATCACTCCATCACAGACCCAACTGGGATTTGCCACCACCGTTGAAACCACTATGAAAACATGAAGATGGACACACAACACAGTTTAACCTTTAATGGTTACATAAGATTTTTGTTTTAGTAACTCTTTGACATTTATTTATTGATAGTTATGTATTGTTAATTCTTATTTCTTGTCATTCCTTACTTAATAACAAAATTGCAAATGCTAATATTATAAAGCAAGTGGAAATGAGCAATTTTATGGAAAATGTCTAAGTTTTTTAAGTTATTGTGTTCGGCTACTGTTCTTGAAATATCTTAATTCTATTCTTATTACGTGAGTACACAAAATAGAACAACATACTAACTTCTTACGTTCGTAATCCTGTTTGTCTCATGCTTCAGCAGTTTGTTGCAGTCAGTGTTATTTACTGAAAATTTTAAAATAATTACTTGTCTTCACAATCACATTTTTCTTTATTATTGGTCTCTCCATTTGTGCTTCCATTTCTGATGCATGTTCGTGTTGATACAGCAACCAGCAACGTATTGTACAAAAAAATCCCAAATAAAACTAATAATGTAAAAAGTTTATAACCTATTTCAAACTGCGGGGAATATTTTTAAAATATAGAATCAAACAAACTGAAATAAGCCCATCTACAGCTCGTCAAGCTTGTGTAAACCCCTCCTGCTCACAATCAACAAGCTGCACACAATTAGCTCATTAAAGGTTATCTAGCTAAAACTGGCAACATAAAATATCATTGTTGGCTTATTTTGGTACGAAGCGGTTAGTTAATGCTTCACAATGCAAAAAAAAAGATGACATTTCATCAACTTACCTGAGAAAATCCTTCCGAAACACCGAAAATGAACTGCGGTCAATGCAGCAGTTGGGGCTGTTTGGAACTATTCAAAGCTACATGAACCACGTGACTTCCGCATTCCATTCTTTCCATAGAAGTCCATTGGGGTGTTGCAACTCTCTCTTTCTACAGCTCTGACCAAACCTAAATACCATCAGCCTCAGCACTGGACACATGTTATCCTCCCCCTTTTTGCATTAAATGTAAAACAGACATTGTATTTTCTAAACTAAAGTCTACATTTTGTCATGTTTCCTGTAAGTGGAGTTTATAGAACCTGGATTTGTTTCACCCACAGCTGAAAGGGTTGTTTTTACATTAGCTTTTGACTTAGATTTAGCTGTTACAGGAAAGGGGAGAGAAGAAGGAACAGGAAGCAGAAAATCTTATGCTGCAGTCACATTGATTTTAGGTTGTAAATCACAAAAGACATGTCTTTTTGTATGTTGGAGTCACTGGTGCACACTTCTGCACAGACTGATGTTGGGCTCAAACCTTTAGAATAAATCTACATTTGTTGGGGGTATAAAATAGCAAAGACATGCATGTCCGAAACATGAGTTTAAAGTGGTCTTGATCCAGATAAAAATTTACCCATGCTTGAACCAACATATGTGAAATTTGCATTGCATTGGAATTTGTCCAAACAATCAAACATTAAAGGTGCATTATGTAGAAATGAACTAAAAATACATGGTAGATGTCAAATTACAATTTTATATATACCCAGCAACCCCACACTCACTGATGGTAAACAGTAGTTTCATCACTTCATTCTTTGTTTTCAAAGAAAATAAACTGACAATCCCTGCAGCCTGCTGGGTATGAAAGCATGTTTCAGTATAACCTTCCTTCCAAAATGACCGAAACAGAGTCTTTTGGGATTTTCTCACTGTAAAATTCTCACTATATCCTTACATACTGCACCTGTAAAGTGTCTCAACTCTGAATAATAGAGGAGCATCCCCCCATCATCAGGTCAACACCCTCAGTGGCTCAGTTCCTGCTTCTGCTCTTCGGCTTTTTAAACAGCTGCTGCTTCATTTTAGACTTCTGCTTTGTTTGAAGTTAAGTTCTCAAATGGGAAACAGGCTGGTGCAGAGCTACATTTTCAAACTGACCATCTACTTTCAGCTTACTGGGAAACCGTTTATCTGCACCACTGTTTCAAAGTTCAACCCAATGGAACATTGATATTTTGCACCTGGCCTCACGGTGCACTGCATTTAGGTTTGCTCAACATAGTGTCAAACCCTTTTTGCACAGAAAACACAAAAGGAAATGAATGAAGTTTGCTGTGCAGGCATAGAATCAATCATTATCTAAGTGCAGCAGCATCAGAGTGATAAAAGACAAATTAAAATTACCTGTTAACATTAACACTGGCTTATCCAAATTAAAAGGTCATCTTTCCTGCTTCAGAGGAGAAATTGTTTTTAATTCGTAAAATTCCAGAAATGTTGGAGCTTGTTAGACTTTGACGTTAAATAACATTTTTTAAGTGCTCTGAACCACTCCAGACTATATTCGGCTACAAAAATAAAGCAACTCTTTGTTGTGTAGGAATATTGTCAGAGCATTTGTTGTTTTATTCCAACATCACCAACGTTCCATAAGATGCCAACCAGTTTCATACAGATTT